ACGAAATATCCCCCGCCTGTACACCATAGTACCAAATATCAAGACAATCCAGCGATTAGTTCTTGAGATATTGTGGCAACACCGTTTTCCAACTCCAAAAACAGATTTGCCTGCTGTGACCTTGAAAATGGGGTCAAGGTCACCAAATCTGACAGGTGTATGCGGTGTCTGTATATACACCATAGTTCCAAATATGAAGACAATCCAGCGATTAGTTCTTGAGATATCGCGGCAACACCGTTTTCTAACTCCAAAAGCAGATTTGCCTGCTGTGACCTTGACAATGGGGTCAAGGTCACCAAAACCGACTGGTGTATGCGGTGTCTGTATATACACCATAGTTCCAAATATGAAGACAATCCAGTGTTTAGTTCTTGAGATATCGCGGCAACACCGTTTTCTAACTCCAAAAGCAGATTTGCCTGCTGTGACCTTGACAATGGGGTCAAGGTCACCAAAACCGACTGGTGTCTGCGGTGTCTGTATATACACCATAGTTCCAAATATGAAGACAATCCAGTGTTTAGTTCTTGAGATATCGCGGCAACACCGTTTTCCAACTCTAAAAGCAGATTTGTCTGCTGTGACCTTGAAAATGGGATCAAGGTCACCAAAACCGACTGGTGTCTGCGGAGTCTGTATATACACCATAGTTCCAAATATGAAGACAATCCAGTGTTTAGTTCTTGAGATATCGCGGCAACACCGTTTTCTAACTCCAAAAGCAGATTTGCCTGCTGTGACCTTGACAATGGGGTCAAGGTCACCAAAACCGACTGGTGTCTGCGGTGTCTGTATATACACCATAGTTCCAAATATGAAGACAATCCAGTGTTTAGTTCTTGAGATATCGCGGCAACACCGTTTTCCAACTCTAAAAGCAGATTTGTCTGCTGTGACCTTGAAAATGGGATCAAGGTCACCAAAACCGACTGGTGTCTGCGGAGTCTGTATATACACCATAGTTCCAAATATGAAGACAATCCAGTGTTTAGTTCTTGAGATATCGCGGCAACACCGTTTTCCAACTCTAAAAGCAGATTTGTCTGCTGTGACCTTGAAAATGGGATCAAGGTCACCAAAACCGACTGGTGTCTGCGGAGTCTGTATATACACCATAGTTCCAAATATGAAGACAATCCAGTGTTTAGTTCTTGAGATATCGCGGCAACACCGTCTTCCAACTCCAAAAGCAGATATGCCTGCTGTGACCTTGAAAATGGGGTCAAGGTCACCAAAACCGACTGGTGTCTGCGGAGTCTGTATATACACCATAGTTCCAAATATGAAGACAATCCAGTGTTTAGTTCTTGAGATATCGCGGCAACAAACAGGTGGGACGTACGGACGGTCGTGAATACTATATCCCCCGCTTCGCGCTTTCGCGCAGCGGGGGATAACAAGCAACTAAAAGTCATAAGTTATGAATTGAAATAAAAGACAAAAAAGAAATATACCAAATAATTAACGTAAAAAAATGAACTATTAGTTCCAGCAAGAAAGTGCGACTTTCAAACTGATAGTTTTGCACAATACTGGCAATATATCAAACTCTAGGACTACCTAATAATTACCTTGACAACCTGCTAGTCCAACTTCTAACTGACTTCGTTTTCCCTAACTATCCTAAAGTTTCAATGAATGATATGTTTGTCTACAGACCAAATGCTTTTCCCAATTTGGTTGCCCTGGAAACCAATCTTCATTTTGGAAAAGGACAATTTTATTTTTTTAAATAAGAGATCACTGGTGACCACATTTTATTATATGAAGAGAACAGGAAAATCTTCACATCTACATGTTAGGCCAAAGTCAACTGAATCACCTCATGACGGGTCAGCTGTCTGAAGCATCGACATTTACCTTCTTGATGTGAATATATAGACATGCATCTTGCCATGACATGAGCTCACCTGACCCCCAGGTCCCAGGAGCCAAACAGTACTACCCAAGTGAAGACAGGAAGATGGCAGCTCACCTGACCCCCAGGTCCCAGGAGCCAAACAGTACTACCCAAGTGAAGACAGGAAGATGGCAGCTCACCTGACCCCCAGGGCCCAGGAGCCAAACAGTACTACCCAAGTGAAGACAGGAAGATGGCAGCTCACCTGACGCCAAGGGCCCAGGAGTCAAACAGTACTACCCAAGTAAAGACAGGAAGATGGCAGCTCACCTGACCCCCAGGGCCAAGGAGCCAAACAGTACTACCTAAGTGAAGACAGGAAGATGGCAGCTCACCTGACCCCCAGGTCCCAGGAGCCAAACAGTACTACCCAAGTAAAGACAGGAAGATGGCAGCTCACCTGACCCCCAGGGCCCAGGAGCCAAACAGTACAACCCAAGTAAAGACAGGAAGATGGCAGCTCACCCGACCCCCAGGTCCCAGGAGCCAAACAGTACTACCCTAGTGAAGACAGGAAGATGGCAGCTCACCTGACCCCCAGGTCCCAGGAGCCAAACAGTACTACCCAAGTAAAGACAGGAAGATGGCAGCTCACCTGACCCCCAGGGCCAAGGAGCCAAACAGTACTACCCAAGTGAAGACAGGAAGATGGCAGCTCACCTGACCCCCAGGGCCCAGGAGCCAAACAGTACTACCCAAGTGAAGACAGGAAGATGGCAGCTCACCTGACCCCCAGGGCCCAGGAGCCAAACAGTACTACCCAAGTGAAGACAGGAAGATGGCAGCTCACCTGACCCCTAGGGCCCAGGAGCCAAACAGTACTACCCAAGTGAAGACAGGAAGATGGCAGCTCACCTGACCCCCAGGTCCCAGGAGCCAAACAGTACTACCCAAGTGAAGACAGGAAGATGGCAGCTCCAATACCACAAACAGTTGTGTTGGAGCAGAAACCAAGGAGAAGGGGTGATAAGGGCCCTTTGTGGCTACATTTTAAAATTGGAGAAAAACTTTTAAATGTTCTTTTGACAAATATCAGATAAGTTCATATGACAAAAAACTAGTTTTTTTTGTCTGTTTTCATGTTTTGGACTTGCGCAATAATAGTCAAATAAAGAATGAATGTTACAAATGAAGGTCATTATTAACATACGAATAATGAACTCAAAATAAAAAATGTTACCAAAGAACAACTTGCTAACAAAAGACGTCATATGTAAAGAAAGAAGTACTAAAGAACGTCATCTGTCTAATTAGTACATGTATTTAGTACAAAACCTTAAATGAACACTCATTTGACGCTTAATTTATATTTATGTCGTTCAAATCGTTCAAGTCGTATCTGTGTGTCGAAATTTGCTGTTTTAACGCACAACAAAATCTTGGACAGTATTTAGTAGCGACTTTTTTAAATCAGGTTAATATTTGCAGCTACATTTACACCATCAGTCAGGAAATATCACTTTTCTCAACTACATTATAGTCATGGTCGTCTGAGGTAGACTAAGTGCCTCAATATTCTTGCACAACGTTCACTTTTAGATCTTATGAAAATGTGCATCACGAAAAATAACTCAGCATCATATAAGACTTTTGTTTGACGTTTCACACCGATTAAACTTGGAATGTTTTATAAATTGCAGCGGTATCTGGAGTTCTTTATTGCCAACGTTGTCTGTTAGCATTTTAGTGTCCTTTTTTGTGCACTGACATTTTTCAGTACATTGTTCTTTCTTCATATTTGACGTCTTTTGTTTTATATAGTTAAATCGAGCTCTGCATGCCATTCTTACGTTCAAGTATGTTTATTCTTATTATTGATTATTACATCTATCAAAAATCTTTTTAGCAGTAATTGTCTCATGCACATTAAATGCTACAATTGTGATGAATACTGTATATTTACACGTCTGTGTTCAGATACGACACAATGTGATACATTAGGCATGCATTATATAATAGTCTGCTCAATACAGTGTTGTATAGGTTACCGTGTCAATATATGACATGACATTACGTGATACATCCAGCATGCACTATATATATAATAGTCTGCTCAATACAGTGTTGCATAGGTTACTGTGTCAATATATGACATGACATTACGTGATACATCAAGCATGCATTACATATATAATAGAATATAATAGTCTGCTCAATACAGTGTTGCATAGGTTACTGTGTCAATATATGACATGACATTACGTGATACATCAAGCATGCACTATATATATATATTAGTCTGCTCAATACAGTGTTGCATAGGTTACTGTGTCAATATGACATGACATTATGTGATACATCAAGCATGCACTATATATATATATTAGTCTGCTCAATGCAGTGTTGCATAGGTTACTGTGTCAATATGACATGACATTATGTGATACATCAAGCATGCACTATATATATATATATTAGTCTGCTCAATACAGTGTTGTATAGGTTACTGCAGGCCTGTTTCCCCCTTAACTTGTCCTACCAGTTACAGTTCATTAAGAACCTTTCAGTAGTTTCAGCTATTTGTCAGCATTTTACAAGCATGCGAGCAGGTGAAGTCACCAACACAATCATCTGTTCGATAATTATTACACCTTTTATTTTAGTCATGCAAACCTGGTTCAAAGAGGGTGGCGCCCATGGAAAAACAGACAACAATCGATACCAATTTCAAAATTCTTTTCGATACAGCTTTGTATGCATTTGTGCACTGGTATTTAATGTATTTTGTTCTAATTTAGAAGTAATATGATTTCATCAGTTAGCATGGTTAGGAAATTGATTTATATGACATTCTTAAAAGCCATATATTTTTCACCTGATTTCGTAGTCTGCTTTTTATTCAAAACCATGGGAGTAAACAGGTCTGTTACTGTGTTTAGATATAGTATGTAATACATCCAGCATGCATAGTATATACAATAGTCTTCATAGAAATGTGTTGCTGCTGTCCAACCCAGGCTAGTGTGTGACATATGTTACATGCAGTGGCAAGATTAGGAGGTCAAGTATACATTAGTTGCATATCCCAACAGCCGGTGCCAATAGGCCATGCAGTTCCCCCATTCCCACATGAACTGGTAATGATGGTATGGTTTACCTTGGGGCTGGGGCACAGCTGGGGGGTAACATACTGAAGCACAACGTCCATAACAACATTACTACCATAGACAACAGAGGTGACTGGTGGGCATACAAGAATAAACAGTACAATGAGCATAAAGGACAGCTGGTGTAGTGTGTAAGGTCACTCCTAGGAAGACAGCACAGGATCTCGATGTACTGGTGTATGAGGTCTCTCCTAGGAACACAGCACAGGATCTCCATGTACTGGAGTGTGAGGTCAATCCTAGAAACACAGCACAGAATCTCCATGTACTGGAGTGTGAGGTCACTCCTAGGAAGACAGTACAGGATCTCCATGTACTGGAGTGTGAGGTCAATCCCAGGAACACAGCAAAGGATCTCCATGTACTGGTGTGTGAGGTCAATCCTAGAAACACAGCACAGGATCTTCATGTACTGGAGTGTGAGGTCAATCCCAGGAAGACAGCACAGGATCTCCATGTACTGGAGTGTGAGGTCAATCATAGAAACACAGCACAGGATCTCCATGTACTGGAGTGTGAGGTCAATCCCAGGAACACAGCACAGAATCTCCATGTACTGGAGTGTGAGGTCACTCCTAGGAACACAGCACAGAATCTCCATGTACTGGAGTGTGAGGTCAATCCCAGGAACACAGCACAGGATCTCCATGTACTGGAGTGTGAGGTCACTCCAAGGAATACAGCACAGGATCTCCATGTACTGGTGTGTGAGGTCACTCCTCGGAAAACACAGCACAGGATCTCCATGTACTGGAGTGTGAGGTCAATCCCAGGAACACAGCACAGGATCTCCATGTACTGGTGTGTGAGGTCAATCCTCGGAACACAGCACAGGATCTTCATGTAGTTGAGTGTGAGGTCACTCCTAGGAAGACAGCACCGGATCTCCATGTACTTGAGTGTGAGGTCAATCCTAGAAACAGCACAGGATCTCCATGTACTGAGTGTGAGGTCACTCCTAGGAAGACAGCACAGGATCTCCATGTACTGGTGTGTGAGGTCACTCCCAGGAACACAGCACAGGATCTCCATGTACTGGTGTGTGAGGTCACTCCTTGGAAGACAGCACAGGATCTCCACGTACTGGTGTGTGAGGTCAATCCCAGGATCAAAGCCCAGGACCCCCATGTATTGGAGCGTGAGGTCACTCCTAGAAACACAGCACAGGATCTCCATGTACTGTTCTGTGAGGTCAATCCTAGAAACACAGCACAGGATCTCCATGTACTGGTGTGTGAGGTCACTCCTAGGAAAACAGCACAGGATCTCACTGTACTGGTGTGTGAGGTCAATCCTAGGAACACAGCACAGGATCTCCATGTACTGGAGTGTGAGGTCACTTCCAGGAACACAGCACAGGATCTCCATGTACTGGAGTGTGAGGTCAATCCCAGGAACACAGCACAGGATCTCCATGTACTGGTGTGTGAGGTCAATCCTAGAAACACAGCACAGGATCTCCATGTACTGGAGTGTGAGGTCACTCCAAGGAACACAGCACAGGATCTCCATGTGCTGGTGTGTGAGGTCACTCCTCGGAAAACACAGCACAGGATCTCCATGTACTGGAGTGTGAGGTCAATCCCAGGAACACAGCACAGGATCTCCATGTACTGGTGTGTGAGGTCAATCCTCGGAACACAGCACAGGATCTTCATGTACTTGAGTATGAGGTCACTCCTAGGAAGACAGCACAGGATCTCCATGTACTTGAGTGTGAGGTCAATCCTAGAAACAGCACAGGATCTCCATGTACTGGAGTGTGAGGTCACTCCTAGGAAGACATCACAGGATCTCCATGTACTGGTGTGTGAGGTCACACCTTGGAACACAGCACAGGATCTCCATGTACTGGTGTGTGAGGTCAATCCCAGGAACACAGCACAGGATCTCCATGTACTGGTGTATGAGGTCTCTCCTAGGAACACAGCACAGGATCTCCATGTACTGGAGTGTGAGGTCAATCCTAGAAACACAGCACAGAATCTCCATGTACTGGAGTGTGAGGTCACTCCTAGGAAGACAGTACAGGATCTCCATGTACTGGAGTGTGAGGTCAATCCCAGGAAGACAGCACAGGATCTCCATGTACTGGCGTTTAAGGGTCAATCCTCGGAACACAGAACTGGATCTCCATGTACTGGTGTTTGAGAACACTCCTCAGAACACAGCCGGGATCTCCATGTACTGGAGTGTGAGGTCACTCCTAGGAACACAGCACAGGATCTCCATGTACTGGTGTGTGAGGTCACTCCCAGGAACACAGCACAGGATCTCCATGTACTGGAGTGTGAGGTCAATCCTAGAAACACAGCACAGGATCTCCATGTACTGGAGTGTGAGGTCACTCCCAGGAACACAGCACAGAATCTCCATGTACTGGCGTTTAAGGGTCAATCCTCGGAACACAGAACTGGATCTCCATGTACTGGTGTGTGAGGTCACTCCTAGGAAGACAGCACAGGATCTCCATGTACTGATGTGCGAGGTCACTCCAAGAAACACAGCACAGGACCCCCATGTACTGGTGTGTGAGGTCACTTCCAGGAACACAGCACAGGATCTACATGTACCTTTGTGTGGACCTGCCTCAGTTGGTGACTGTTTAGAAACTGTACTGCTTACTAAGATCACAAAATCATTCCATTTCACATAAGTATTGTCAGGCTTCCAAAACTCGTATTATCTACCGATACATGTCAAATGACTCATATTTGTACCTCTCATTCGACATATAGCACGTGGTGACTAAGGGACAACTGTCTGTGAATGCTGAATACTCGTCCCATGTCTCAGTCAAATTAAATTTTCTAGGTCAAGTTTCCTGATACACATTATAGTTCAAAGGTTAAAAAACTGACCAGAAGACAAATTTGCTCCTTTGAACTCAAAGTTAGGTCGAGACTCCTATTTCTATAAAGAATCAAGTGGGAGTACCAGTTTTGAAAGCCTTGTGTACCTAGCTACTTTGTCCTCATATGGTGTGCCCAAACAGCTACAGAGTGCCCACACAGCTAGGTGAGGGATGACAACATGTAAGCTAGAACCGTCTAGAACCACAGTGCACACACACAGCTAGGTGAGTGATGACAACATGTAAGCTAGAACCGTCTAGAACCACAGTGCACACACACAGCTAGGTGAGTGATGACAACATGTAAGCTAGAACCGTCTAGAACCACAGTGCACACACACAGCTAGGTGAGTGATGACAACATGTAAGCTAGAACCGTCTAGAACCACAGAGTGCCCACACAGCTAGGTGAGTGATAACAACATGTAAGCTAGAACCGTCTAGAACCACAGAGTGCCCACACAGCTAGGTGAGTGATGACAACATGTAAGCTAGAACCGTCTAGAACTACAGTGCACACACACAGCTAGGTGAGGGATGACAGCATGTAAGCTAGAACCGTCTAGAACTACAGTGCACACACACACAAATAGGTGAGTGATGACAACATGTAAGCTAGAACCGTCTAGAACCACAGAGTGCCCACACAGCTAGGTGAGTGATGACAACATGTAAGCTAGAACCGTCTAGAACTACAGTGCACACACACAGGTAGGTGAGTGATGACAACATGTAAGCTAGAACCGTCTAGAACTACAGTGCACACACACAGCTAGGTGAGTGATGACAACATGTAAGCTAGAACCGTCTAGAACTACAGTGTGCACACACAGCTAGGTGAGTGATGACAGCATGTAAGCTAGAACCGTCTAGAACCACAGTGCACACACACAGCTAGGTGAGTGATGACAACATGTAAGCTAGAACCGTCTAGAACCACAGTGCACACACACAGCTAGGTGAGTGATGACAACATGTAAGCTAGAACCATCTAGAACCACAGTGCACACACACAGCTAGGTGAGTGATGACAACATGTAAGCTAGAACCGTCTAGAACCACAGTGCACACACACAGCTAGGTGAGTGATGACAACATGTAAGCTAGAACCGTCTAGAACCACAGAGTGCCCACACAGCTAGGTGAGTGATGACAACATGTAAGCTAGAACCGTCTAGAACTACAGTGCACACACACAGCTAGGTGAGTGATGACAACATGTAAGCTAGAACCGTCTAGAACCACAGAGTGCCCACACAGCTAGGTGAGTGATGACAACATGTAAGCTAGAACCGTCTAGAACCACAGTGCACACACAGCTAGGTGAGTGATGACAACATGTAAGCTAGAACCGTCTAGAACCACAGTGCACACACACAGCTAGGTGAGGGATGACAGCATGTAAGCTAGAACCCTCTAGAACCACAGTGCACACACACAGCTAGCCGAGTGATAAACAGTACACCACACACAATATACAGCAAGCATACCTATGGCTGTTGTTATTTCTTGAGTTTGTCAAACTACTCCATGTAAAGAAATAAACTATGTGTCAATTATTCATATCATTATCATCATATAAACCAGTAAAGTTCATGGTTCATGCAGTGCAAAGTTTGAATTGTTCAGACTGAATATTGGCACAAATCAGAGCTCACATGGCACTGCACAAAGTGTGCTAAATCGTCAAGAGGAAAACTTATATCAATACTCACATTTTTTATCAAATATTAAACATGCATATGATTCAGGGCAGGGAACTTCTAATGAGTGAGTGAGTGAGTTGGGTTTAACGCCGCTTTTAACAGTATTCCAGTTATATCGCGGCGTGTCAGCTTAATGTGGGAGGAAAGCTCGAAGTGATGCAAGTCTCAGACGTTTACCACTTCGGTGAAACCCACGAGCACGGGTATGGTGCTGACAAACCTAGAAACATAATCGGGGCGAACCGGGATTCGAACCCACAATCATAGGTTTCTGGCGTGCCCAAGGGACGCAACTCTGCACAGCGAATTGCGGCGCCTTAGACGACTGGGCCACCCGTGCCCCCTCTAATGAGAGAAGACATAATTGTTATTCATAATTGAAGATAGTTGACAAATTGTTAAAACTGAAAGAACTTGTACAATAGAGCAGTTTACCTTGACTGGTTCCTGCTGAGAGCTCCAGGCCGACCTCCACACACCATGCGGTAATACTACACAACACAGGGAGGCACATACATTACACATGTTCCAGTACTTCCATCTTTGTCAGAGGAGGCCAATGTGTCAGCTGTGACTAGGAGGAAACTGTGTGGGTTCTAGGACTGGATACTGAGTGGGGAAGCAAGACTGCAGCAAGTTGAAACTGTTAATTTATTCTTAAAGAGGGATGAGTTACCTTCCCTGAAATGTCTGTACATGTCAATAGCTGGCAAACCCTAACTGATTGAATGCTTGACATTGGGTATGAGCCAGGGCCATGGCTCGGGATATACTCAGGTCCAGGGAAAAGTCATCACACTTTTGGAATTGTATTTGGAGCCTCCTGGTTCAAGGTTTTGAACAAATTGTTTACACAAACAAATTGGTTAACATACGCTAACCAACCAAACAGACTCAAAGAGAGATAGGTTACAAGTGTATTTTCTTGCACTGTGCAGCGACAAAAAGAATAAATATTATATAAAGAAGACATAATCTATAAATGTGCATGCTTGGGTGTGGAAACATCAAATTTGTGACAAGTAAACAGTAATAAAACAATTGTTATCACATAACAGTCTCTCATTGTTCCCTTCACTGTGGGCAATGGGCAATAGTTGTGAATGAAAAATAATTCTCAAAATATTTCACTGCATTGGCAACTAGCTTGCGCATTTCACGCAATGGGCCGGTAACTGTTCTGCCCACAGCATGCAATCGAAATTGGTATTGTTTTACATGTTTTGTTTTTAATAAAGTAAACTCTATCATTAAGTGAATAAACTGTATTACAACCAAACAAATATATGACCTTAAGAAACTTTATTTTCTAAATAAAAAAAACAATCAAGAAGTGTTATTTGCATATAAAGAGTATGTGAATCACATCAGCGCTCAGTTGAGTCACAGTTTGCACAGGAGTTGTGGCTATGGCATGCACTACCGGGGGTAATAAAAATGTTTGGGAGCATGTTGGTTGTTTATTTTCATTTGACCTTTTCCGTATTTTTACGACATAGGATCATTTCAACTTGTCAAACTATCAGCGCTAAAAAAAACCCACAAACTGCAGAATTGTACCTCCAGTGCTTTATGGGCTGATGACGAGTATTGGTTTGATATAGGTTTATAGTTTGAGTGATTCTCACCCCTTCATTTTCATGTTTTACCTCTTAATCTTATTTCCGTCATGGAGAAATCTTTAGGATCAACATATTCCTCTGGCTTTAACCATGTTATGGTTCATATATAATTTCGCTAAAACTTTGAATAATGACCTATAGCTGTTTATTTGTAGTTTGGAGTACATTTTGTGCTGTCCTCTCTTTATTCTGGTTGTAAGAGAGTATGGCGTGTGTCATTCTCCAGCATCTTCTACACATTGAAATGAAGATTTACTTTATGCAATGTTCAGATAATACCTCAATAAGGACATGTCAAGGTAGAAAGACAAACAAATTACTGTTATTATCTAGAACCATTATACTATCCATACCAATCATGTTTATTATTAAATTATGCATGTTTTAGGGCATATCCCAACTACCTTGTAAAGATCTTCACATCCCACTCCACATTTTATCACTTGTCTTTGAGAAGTTATAAATACCACTGTTACAATGACATCCATTTGGAATCGAGCCATGAGACAGAAATGAACATCATCAGTAGCCCCTGCAGTGACACTGTATGTGTAAATATGTGTAAATATGTGTACATGAACTCTCCTCACCAGAGACACTTGAATCTGTATGTGAGGGTAAATATGTTCCACCTGAACATTGGTTCTGGAGAAATCAATATTCCACAAGTATTGGTTCTGTGGAACAATATACCCAATTATATACCTGGATGAGGACCAAATGTTCCAAATGCTGAAGGTGAAACTTCATTAGATGTTTGGCACTATGAGGTTGAAAGGTTTGTTTGCAGTAAGACTCATTCTGAGGATGAGATCTTACAAGCGTTCAGGATGGCCATCAGGAGTGAAGCTGCCTGTGTCATAATGAATTTAGGACACACTGCTTCAATCACGTCAGTTCTCAATAGACTTGAAACATGTATTTTGTCCATCAGTCATGGAGCAAGGTGAAGTCCTTATGGCCCAGTTTTATGGTGCACGCCAAGGGAAAAGGAGGATGCTCCAGCATGGGGTTGCAGACTCAAGGACATGTTAGACAGACTTGTCTTACAAGGTTTAATCCAGCAGGATAGGTCAAGCTAGGTGTTAGGACAGTCTTCTGGTCAGGACTCAGACAGGAACTGAAGGACTCAACACTGAAGATTGACACCATACAGGATTTTAACCTGCTTTGATTCGCTGGTCAAGGAAGATTGAGTATGACCAGGAACAGAGGAAACATCTGAAGTATCAATGTTGATGGGGGTCACTGACAAACTACCTTCCAAGATTGATAATATGGAGGCATGGATTGATCAGTTCACTTCTACCTCATCCCAGACACAAGACAAAGGACCATATTTCCCTGATAACCCAGCACATTTACCTCATGTTACTGTCTGGCGTCCAGTGCTATAGGTGTGTACAGAATGGTCTCCTTATTAGGGGCAGCTGTGTCAACATAGACCATATGAGGAGTGGACCTTAAAAAGGGAGAGAATCAATGTCGAGGGGCAGGCATTAGGCTCTTTCAGACAGCCCCACTGAAGACGTCCATTCCAAGAAACCAGCTGAATTGACTGAAACAGCTTAGAAGATGGTCATCATTAATGTTGTGTCAACAGAAGGCATGTCCCAGACCCGTATAGCAGGTACTGAGACTTATTTTGCTCAAACTTTAAATGAATGATGGAGCTTCTGATGCGAGATCACGCCTTGTCAACATGACATAAGGGGTAAACCCAAGTTGACAAGGGAAGGATGTCATCTGTAGAATGACTCCACGCCCTGTTACATATACTGCGGGGGGGGGGGGGGGGTATTTTCTAAATTTGTGGGTCATGATTTTTTGCAAGTAGTGTATATTGCTGTAAATTGTATATTGTACAGTGTACAACTGTCCCCAGTAATGTGTCTGTATGAAGGTGGGTGTGCATAATTAACACGGACAATGAGTTTTGAATATTTACCAAATGCCCAAACATTTCCATAAGCATGAAAAACCGGAAATAGCATGTCAACACGCAATACGCAAGTACATACAGTTGTTACAAATTACAAGCTTGTCCACTGACAACAAATGAAGCTGGGTTTTTGGCTGGTCCTGCAAACTCATGTAACAAGTCATGCATTGATTTTCCACACCCCTGGCACAATTTCTCATAGAGATCGTGTGAGATGATCTGTGACAAAAAAAATGAGTCTCACACCAAATATAAGAGAGTTGATATGTATAGATCATTAGAAAGTAACATGTGTCTAATATACATTCAGTTAGGCTTAAAAACCACAAGAAGGTTTCATTGCTACGTAATAATTGTGAATCAGTGACAGTCTCAGACTTACGTCATCACTCTGGTGGAACAAGGGAAGGAAGTTGTTTTCCAGCAGGTTGTAAGCATGCTCATACGCCCTGAAACAGAAGTTGAAATCTAACTGTTACCTGGTACCCGTGAACCGTGCTCAACACAGTTGGCCTGTATACTGCCACACATACGGAATGACAAGGGACGAGGTCCTGTATACTGCCACACATACGGAATGACAAGGGACGAGGTCCTGTATACTGCCACATGTACGAAATGACAAGGGAGGGAGTAGGTCCTGTATACTGCCACACATACGGAATGACAAGGGACGAGGTCCTGTATACTGCCACACATACGGAATGACAAGGGACAAGGGACAAGGTCATGCATACTGCCACACATACGGAATGACAAGAGAGTTGGACATGTATACTGCCACACATATGGAATGACAAGGGAGTAGGTCAAGTTTGCTGCTGCACTAAAGGAAGGACGAGGGAGTAGGTCATGTTTGCTGCTGCACTAAAGGAAGGACGAGGGAGTAGGTCCTGTATGCTGCTGCACTAAAGGAAGGACAAGGGAGTACGTCATGTATGCTGCTGCACTAAAGGAAGGACGAGGGAGTAGGTCATGTATGCTGCTGCACTAAAGGAAGGACAAGGGAGTAGGTCATGTATACTGCCACACATACGGAACGACAAGAGACGAGGTCCTGTATACTGCTACACATATGGAATGACAAGGGACGAGGTCCTGTATACTGCCACATGTACGGAATGACAAGGGAGTAGGTCCTGTATACTGCCACACATACGGAATGACAAGCGAGTTGGACATGTATACTGCCACACATATGGAATGACAAGGGAGTAGGTCATGTATGCTGCTGCACTAAAGGAAGGACAAGGGAGTAGGTCATGTATGCTGTTGCACTAAAGGAAGGACAAGGGACGAGGTCATGTATGCTGCTGCACTAAAGGAAGGACAAGGGAGTAGGTCATGTATGCTGCTGCACTAAAGGAAGGACAAGGGAGTAGGTCATGTATCCTGCTGCACTAAAGGAAGGACAAGGGAGTAGGTCATGTATCCTGCTGCACTATAGGAAGGACAAGGGAGTAGGTCATGTATACTGCTGCACTAAAGGAAGGACAAGGGAGTACGTCATGTATGCTGCTGCACTAAAGGAAGGACAAGGGAGTAGGTCATGTATCCTGCTGCACTATAGGAAGGACAAGGGAGTATGTCATGTATGCTGCTGCACTAAAGAAAAACAAGGGAGTAGGTCATGTATGCTGTTGTACTAAAGGAAGGACAAGGGAGTAGGTCATGTATGCTGTTGTACTAAAGGAAGGACAAGGGAGTAGGTCATGTATGCTGTTGCACTAAAGGAAGGACAAGGGAGTAGGTCATGGATGCTGCTGCACTAAAGGAAGGACAAGGGAGTAGGTCATGTATGCTGCTGCACTAAAGGAAGGACGAGGGAGTAGGTCATGTATGCTGCTGCACTACAGGAAGGACAAGGGAGTAGGTCATGTATCCTGCTGCACTATAGGAAGGACAAGGGAGTAGGTCCTGTATGCTGCTGCACTAAAGGAAGGACAAGGGAGTAGGTCATGTATGCTGTTGTACTAAAGGAAGGACAAGGGAGTAGGTCATGTATGCTGTTGTACTAAAGGAAGGACGAGGGAGTAGGTCATGTATGCTGTTGCACTAAAGGGAGGACGAGGGAAAAGGTCATGTATGCTGCTGCACTCAAGAAAAACAAGGGACAAGGTCATGTATGCTGTTGTACTAAAGGAAGGACAAGGGAGTAGGTCATGTATGCTGTTGTACTAAAGGAAGGACGAGGGAGTAGGTCATGTATGCTGTTGCACTAAAGGGAGGACGAGGGAAAAGGTCATGTATGCTGCTGCACTAAAGGAAGGACAAGGGAGTAGGTCATGTATACTGCTGCACTAAAGGAAGGACAAGGGAGTAGGTCATGTATGCTGCTGCACTAAAGGAAGGACAAGGGAGTAGGTCATGTATACTGCTGCACTAAAGGAAGGACAAGGGAGTAGATCATGTATGCTGTTGCACTAAAGGAAGGACAAGGGAGTAGGTCATGTATGCTGTTCCACATAAGGAAGGACAAGGGAGTAGGTCATGGATGCTGTTGCACATATGGAAGGACAAATGAGTAGGTCATGTATGCTGTTGTACTAAAGGAAGGACAAGGGAGTAGGTCATGTATGCTGTTGCACTAAAGGAAGGACAAGGGAGTAGGTCATGTATGCTGTTGCACATAAGGAAGGACAAGGGAGTAGGTCATGGATGCTGTTGCACATATGGAAGGACAAGGGAGTAGGTCATGTATGCTGTTGCACTAAAGGAAGGACAAGGGAGTAGGTCATGTTTGCTGCTGCACTAAAGGAAGGACAAGGGACAAGGTCATGTATGCTGTTGCACTAAAGGAAGGACAAGGGAGTAGGTCATGTATGCTGTTGCACTAAAGGAAGGACAAGGGAGTAGGTCATGTATGCTGTTGCACATAAGGAAGGACAAGGGAGTAGGTGATGTATGCTGTTGCACTAAAGGAAGGACGAGGGAGTAGGTCACATATGCTGTTGTACTAAAGGAAGGACAAGGGAAAAGGTCATGTATGCTGCTGCACTAAAGGAAGGACAAGGGAGTAGGTCATGTATACTGCTGCACTAAAGGAAGGACAAGGGAGTAGGTCATGTATGCTGTTGCACTAAAGGAAGGACAAGGGAGTAGGTCATGTATACTGCTGCACTAAAGGAAGGACAAGGGAGTAGATCATGTATGCTGTTGCACTAAAGGAAGGACAAGGGAGTAGGTCATGTATGCTGTTCCACATAAGGAAGGACAAGGGAGTAGGTCATGGATGCTGTTGCACATATGGAAGGACAAACGAGTAGGTCTTGTATGCTGCTGCACTAAAGGAAGGACAAGGGACAAGGTCATGTATGCTGTTGCACTAAAGGAAGGACAAGGGAGTAGGTCATGTATACTGTTGCACTAAAGGAAGGACAAGAGAGTAGGTCATGTATGCTGCTGCACTAAAGGAAGGACAAGGGAGTAGGTCATGTATGCTGTTGTACTAAAGGAAGGACAAGGGAGTAGGTCATGTATGCTGCTGCACTAAAGGAAGGACAAGTGACTGAAGAGTGAGATAACTAGGAGCAAGTTTGCCTTGAACTCAAATCAAAAGGAACACGAAGCGAAATTACTTCCTGAGTTCATCTGATTCATAAAAAGTAAATTATCTGGAAACAAACACTTATTTAACCATTCTTATGTGGAAGTGATACCAGCTTGAAAATGGTAGGGTGCAGTTTCTGTGGCAACAAAGAGATAGTCACGTGACTTACTTGAAGAGTGGTGTGGATGTCCGCAGTTTGACCACCCCATCAGGAGGACCTTTAATGACTGTACAACAAATAAAAAATACAAAGCTTGGACAGAAATACATGTCATTTTGATTCATGAAGTTGGCTCATTATTCATGTTATAAGTGCCAAGTTGTGCCTGGTTTGACATACAAATCCCAATGCTAATTCAGAATTGTAGTTTATGATGGTTTGGGCCAAAGTATGACATCAGTGTTCCTCATGAAAACATCACCAACCTCCTTCAAGTTCTTTGACAATTTGTTCATCAAACTTGATCCTATCCAAGGCAGTGGGAGCACAGTAGCTGTTGTAGAGATCCTTGGCCATGTTGTGCAGCTCTACTAACTCACTCTGGGAAACACTGGGACTCAGGATACGCTCATTGAAGTCATCTGCAGGCACATGTAGATTTGTACAGTTGTAGTAATTAATCTACAATACATACAAATTAATTCACCACATTGAGTGAAAATTGTTTTACTATATATCAGCAATTTCAGAGCTATTCACCACACTTCACTTTTATTAATCAGTTATCACTGGTAATGATGCAGCCATTCATCACTGCTATTCATATAGTCATTCATCAGTGGTAATCATGTCACGCGCTGTAGATGATGCGTTCCCAATCTGAGCACAAATACTGCGTAGAGAGCTTATGTATTACTGTGGATAATGAAAATCAACAATACAAATGGTTCAGTGATTTGACAACCTTTCACTGCATGGAGGAACTGCATGGTCCACGTGCAGTGTTTCGGGTATGTTGGAATGTTTTGGTTCCGAAATCCTTTTATCTCTGGCATTTATTTTTAAAAGGTAATCTTTCTTCTGATGACTAATTATTGCATGATCTCCTACTGTTTGGGGAGAGTATATTATCATTTCACATGAACAGTATATTACAACATGAATATATGTGCATGGAGCCCCAACTAGACACATGGAATCCCATGGGCCTTCCATGTTAGAGTACGTCCCTAGCAACCTAGCTGTGTTTGTTGCACAAGTTAAATACAGGAATCAGGTGGTAAAGGCTTATTGACTTGGTCACTCAATTCCTGACAGACCGTGGGCTTTACACGGAAAGTCTTTATGGTAGAAAATCACCCAGAATGAATGTGATTTTTATGAGAGTAATGCCATTTCTAGAGATAATATTTTTTTCACACTTTTGTGAAATAAGATTAATATTATCATTTGTCCATAAATATCAATGTTCAGGATTATTATACCGGTAATCTAATAATAATTTTGCTACCAGTATATATACTTCTAAGTAATAACTAACATGCACATGTGCTACATTTTCATATATCAATTGATATGAATCACAATCTCACAAGATTAATAATACATGTACTGTTATGAGTTTTGTACATGCATAAAGCATGTAAAGCCGCTTTAATAACATACATGCAGTCAACACCGCAGAAGTGAAATCTTTGTAAAACCTGTAGGTGGACTCTCCAAGCACTACTTACTTACTATGTATATCTTGTATGACATTCAGGGCAATCAAACCTATTACATTCTCCCACTTGATGGGAGATGCTGCTTTCTCATTGGCTGGTAAATGTATACAAATTAGGAGGTTTCAATTTTCACCACACCGAGTTGCTGACTACATGACTACATTCAGTCTCTCTTCCCAGGAGCATCAGATATTCATTTAGTTAGTTCACAAGATTTGTTCTGACTCATAGAATCTCCCATTTTTTCTTGCAACGCGATTTTACATATCTTTGTTTCCAGATATGGAGATGAGACTCAGAAATAATAGGGATTGTAAATACTTGTTTAGTAGCACAAACAATTGTCAAATATTGATGCTAAAGGTGTCTACACAACTGAAAGATGTTTGGCCATCATACATGATCATATGTTGTTTAGTCATATTACCACACAAAGAACCGACCACACAAGGGATCTATTTGACTGATATGATATGAGAGACTGTCAAATACCTAAGGTGAATATCCCCTTTTGATAAATGGACAGTTCATATTGTAGCACTGATCTGCCGATAGTTATATACCATGTACACTAATAACCAAAAGCCATTCTTCAAAACAATCAGTTAAAGCTTAATAACAAATCACACATGAACAGGAAATCTGAATTCCTTGTCAGGTGACACAAGCCATTATATTCTGTAAATGACCAAGGCACAGCACAGTGACTCACCACAAGCTAGACAGAACTGTAGAACATTGACTGCTGCCTCGCTTTTGAGGAACTGCATGAACGGGTACAGCAACTCGGGGGTGTCCTTGTTGATAACCTCCTTCAGCTCCAGGCGCAGACACTGCACAAACAGGCAATACTTCACACACTGCACTAACAGGCAATACTTCACACACTGCACAAACAGACGATACTTCACACACTGCACAAACAGGCAATACTTCACAAACAGACAATACTTCACACACTGCACAAACAGACGATACTTCACACACTGCACAAACAGACAATACTTCACAAACAGGCAATCCTGTACACACTGCACAAACAGGCAATACATCACAATAAGACAATACTTCACACACTGCACAAACAGACAATACTTCACAAACAGACAATCCTTCACAAACTGCACAAACAGACAATACTTCACACACTGCACAAACAGGCAATACTTCACAAACAGACAATACTTCACACCCTGCAGAAACAGACAATACTTCACAAACAGACAATACTTCACACACAGCACAAACAGACAATACTTCACAAAGAGACAATACTTCACACACTGCACAAACAGACAATTCTTCACACACTGCACAAACAGGCAATACTTCACAAACAGACAATACTTTACAAACAGGCAATACTTCACAGACAATACTTCACACACTGCACAAACAGGCAATACTTCACACACTGCACAAACAAGCAATACTTCACAAACAGACAATACTTCACACACTGCACAAACAGGCAATACTTCACACACTGCACAAACAGGCAATACTTCACAAACAGGCAATACTTCACATACAAGCAATACTTCACACACAGCACAAACAGGCAATACTTCACAAACAGGCAATACTTCACACACTGCACAAACAGACAATACTTCACACGCTGCACAAACAGGCAATACTTCACATACATACAATACTTCACACACTGCACAAACAGGCAATAATTCACAAACAGACAATACTTCACACACAGCACAAACAGACAATACTTCACACACTGCACAAACAGGCAATACTTCACACACTGCACAAACAGACAATACTTCACACACTGCACAAACAGACAATACTTCAGACACTGCACAAACAGACAATACTTCAGACACTGCAAAAACAGACAATACTTCACACACTGGACAAACAGGCAATACTTCACACACTGGACAAACAGACAATACTTCACACACAGCACAAGCAGACAATACTTCAGACACTGCACAAACAGACAATTCTTCACACACTGCACAAACAGACAGTTCTTCACACACTGCACAAACAGACAATACTTCACAAACAGACAATACTTCACACACTGCACAAACAGACAATACTTCACACACTGGACAAACAGACAATACTTCACACACAGCACAAACAGACAATTCTTCACACACTGCACAAACAGACCATTCTTCACAAACAGACAATTCTTCACACACTGAACAAACAGGCAATACTTCACACAACACAGCTGCTCACATCACAAGCTGCCTTAGGCCACAATAAATTAGTACAATTTCATCTGCCATGGCACTGTAGCTCACCTGGATAAGGAGTCAACAGTATAAAAGTCAACATTTACAGTAACTTAACAAAATTTGCCATCAGCAATGCTGTGTAATTATTTCTGCATAATATTGAGGATAAACAAAATGGAATATTGTTTCATGGAATAAACACAAAAATTACATATATGTTCAGGCATGTGAGCAGGTTTTCCCGAAAAAAGAGGAAAAGTCTAGGGGGGTCTGGGGGCATGCCCCCCCAGAAATTTTTAAAACATTTGATTGCATTTTAAGCAATTTCGTGCAGTTTGGACAACATTCACACCAAGAAATATAATAAGTCAATGGCCAAAGTCAATAAGTCAAATAAACAAGATGGCAGATGCAGTAAAATTTCGAAGTTAAGTCAGTACTTTTATAAAATTGGGCATAGCTTTCGCGCACCTGGCTACCCACCAGGTCTGGGAGCAATACTGCCATAAACTTCAACCCCCATCCCCCAGACACAAGGACAACTGTCACAAGCGTGCAATGTCTGACCCTTTCCCCATGTTGAAGCATATTGAAAAAAACTTACCTTGTACTTACCTTTTGATGAAAAAAACAAACGTCCATAGCAAACATAAGACATTAATACAACATATATCCCCATGACATGGGGTTTTGGACGCTGAAGAAACATTCATAGTTTTCTCGCTTATTACATGAACAACTGTAAAACATCTCATTCACTTACAGGATTAAAAGACAACTTTATCTTAAAAACAAGCCATCAGCTGACTCTGAGTATTTACAATTTCTCTGTGACGCCACACCCCACGTTATAGTGCAAGTATTCGTGACAGAAAACGTATGATGTCCGAAAACCTAAGCTGTGAAAGCTCTGATCGAAAACAGGACAATCCGCGCCAATTGTCCGGTTTTCGATCATATTTTTCGGAGTGTTTTTTTTTAAAATTGTATTAAATTTTTACGCGGAAGATGTTTTTTTCCCGAGGACTACTGTTTTAAAAAACGCGATTTTCCGCGTTTCCGCGGAGATTTCACATCCCTGTATGTTACACATAGTTTCAACTCTCATCAATGCTTCTTAAAGCATGATGTTTTTTCTTATGTGATGCAAGTAACAGAATATCCAGTCTGCTGTTTATATGACAAATCAAAATAGAAAAGTGCTGGAGACACACAATCACCACTCTTTCACAAATTGTGTAATTTTCTGATAAAAACATAAATACCTTAATAAATAAAATATGAATACATATATATTGCTTCACAGCCTCAGGCAGTGCACAAACATACAAGTTTCGATTATTATCAGAGCTTACATCTCAAATATTGCCACCACAACACTATTTCTTCATCTTAGAAATCCCTAGCAGATGCACTTAACAACAGACAAGACATGTTGTACCACAAGATCACATACATAAGCCAACTCAGTCCCTAACTCTCACGCTATAACATAGTCTTAGGATAGGTACAGCTCCATGAATACTTCGTGACCAGAGGGCCCTCTTTTCCAGAGTTATGATATTCCTACGGCTTTCCTAACTCCCACAACCTGACACAGACTTACTAAAGTTGGATCTCAGACAGTTTGTGAAAGGGGGCCCCAGGCCTGGTGTTTGCCAGGGGTATGTGCACAACTGGATCGATAATGAGTACAGCTGCAGTATTAGGAAACAACACTTACAGATTTGTTCTGGTTGAGGGGCTGAGCAAAAGCCTCAAGATAAGGCACCATGGGAGATGGAGGCTCCTTGGCTACAGGGGGCTGAAAGTACAGCAGTGACAGTCAGTCAATGAAATATAACAGAACAAACAATCCGATAGTTTACAACTTTCCATCTTACAACAAAGAAGATGGCAGCTTTTAAATCAGAATGTAACATGTTCCATCAGGACTATTTATAGGGGTAAGATAAGATTTGTATTTCTTTATGGCAAGTGTATTGTTTGCATATTCTGACAGAGAAATACCATGTCCAGTCAATCACTCATTTTGAGATATTTTGAACAACCACATACCGGTAGTATGTTTAACAAGAACTAAGGCTGACCCAGAATGTAAGATATAACATGGACATTTGGTATTGCACCTTCCATCAACACACATGTGTGAAGTATGAGTCGTGGTGGCTACTCACAGGAGTATTATCCAGGAAGATGAGAATCAAGTTGTTTACCAGGTCCTGCAAGGAGGAAGGAAGTATCCTAAACATGAACACCCAAATCTATTCAGTTGTAACTTTAATACTCAAATCCATGTTATAGTATATACGTATTTTCAGAAAATCAGTATCACTCATGATGAATGTACATCTGTCACAGATAATTATAGTACTTGAACAGAATCACAATACAGTCATCATACGAACTGGGTTAGCAACAGCATCTACTGCAGGCAACAGCACTGAGCCTGCCAGCATCTCCCTCAACAGCGCACAGGTACTTCTGGAAACAAACAAAATATACAGATTACCTTGCCTTTAAGCCATAAACACAATGACATGCACACTCAAGGATGGACATTTCTGTGAAATGATCTACCAGTGTTAACTGGAAGTCTGAAAAGGGGAAAAAGACACTCTATCAATGTTACTTACTTAAAGTGCAGGGTCTGAGGTCTGAGGACATAGTGGAAGAGATTTTATCAATGTTATCTACTTAGAGTGCAGGGCCTGAGGTCTGAGAATATAGGGAAAGAGATTCTATCAATGTTACTTACTTAGAGTGCAGGGTCTGAGGTCTGAGGATATAGGGAAAGAGATTCTATCGATGTTACTTACTTAGAGTGCAGGGCCTGGGGTCTGAGGATATAGGGAAAGAGATTTTATCAATGTTACTTACTTAGAGTGCAGGGTCTGAGGTCTGAGGACATAGTGGAAGAGATTTTATCAATGTTACTTACTTAGAGTGCAGGGCCTGGGGTCTGAGGATATAGGGGAAGAGACTCTCTGCCATTCTTCTGAGATACTCGAGTTCTGCTTTACGACTCCACATTGCTACGTGAGTGTCTTGCCCCAGGTAGTCAATCACACACTGCTGAAAGTCAGTGGAACCTTCAGCTGAAACACAGCACATGAATACTGTACAAATTCCAGTGTTGCCCCACTGAACAGTATCCAGAAGTATCATGAGTGGTGTAGTTACCTCAACTGATAAAACACCATTAGGTGAACACCACACAATCACATTGCATTTAAACAGTGTGTGAACTAGTCGAGACTAGTGATGCCAACCCACTGAGATTCCAAGACGTGGATTGAACATGGAATCCCCTCTCAGACACAGTATCATGACTCCAAGCTGACCAGTCCTTGTTTTATCCCCTTAATGCTGAGTGGCAGGCAGAGTAACAAGTAGCTCTGATCTTCCGATCACATTAACCCACAATGTATCCTGGTCTGTATACAACAGTAAACTCACCATGTACCTTGGTCTGTATACAACAGTAAACTCACCATGTACCTTGGTCTGTATACAACAGTAAACTCACCATGTACTTTGGTCTGTATAAAAACAGTAAACTCACCATGTACCTTGGTCTATATACAACAGTAAACTCACCATGTACCTTGGTCTGTATACAACAGTAAACTCACCATGTACCTTGGTCTGTATACAACAGTAAACTCACCATGTACCTTGGTCTGTATACAACAGTAAACTCACCATGTACCTTGGTCTGTATACAACAGTAAACTCACCATGTACTTTGGTCTGTATAAAAACAGTAAACTCACCATGTACCTTGGTCTATATACAACAGTAAACTCACCATGTACCTTGGTCTGTATACAACAGTAAACTCACCATGTACCTTGGTCTGTATACAACAGTAAACTCACCATGTACCTTGGTCTGTATACAACAGTAAACTCACCATGTACCTTGGTCTGTATACAACAGTAAACTCACCATGTACCTTGGCCCGTATACAGCAGTCTAGGTGTTCTATCGCTGCCTTCACCAGTTTATGGATTACAAGGTTAGGAATATCAATCTGAAAGTATATGAAACAACATGGTTCATACAGTCAAGTCTTGTTTATACAACATGGTTGGTTGCCTATGATTATGTCGGATTAACAAGTATGTCAGATAAACGAAACAAAGTAGTATCAATGTTCATGATTGAAAATCGGAAAACTACACGATAGATAACGATACAAACACGTAATAAAAGAATTAAATTAGTTAGCGGAAAATGTTTTCTAATCATGCAGCCTCTAAAGGCACAAAACTACTGTTACAGGGTATATGACTGATTCAAAATACTTGTCTGGAATGGAAGTTGCCAATTTGAAACCAGTGCCGCAAAGCTCAAGAAAGTTGCTTTCTTAGTGGCTATGTCGACTTCCTGTTAGTCATTTCATTGGTTGGTCAATGTTCACGAAGGTTGTGCTGATGTGACTGTTCTGATGTGATTGGATGTTCTCAGCAGGAGCGAGAACTTGTATCTGATTTTAATGAGATTGAGGTAATCTAAGCATGTGATTAATCCTGTTTTGTTTATTTAAAGAATTAATTTATTGTTAAGCAAGCTTATCTCTACAGCCGTTGAAATATGCAGCTACTCGCCGACTCGTCTCGCATCAAAACACGGGCTGTGTACTTGCGGGCAGGTGACCATGGAGTAAAGTGATCACTGTGTCAGATTAACGAGACTCATTAATGAGTGATTTCGTAATTTGTTGCAAATTAGATGTGTGAGACTGTTGGATTTAACGGGTCCAAATTACACTGACATAATCGGTTCCCATCATTAGAGTTGTAGAAAGCCGATTGTCGGATTAACGAGTGTCAGATTTCAGAAAAGTAATACAAACTGAGAGGGAGTTACCTTCTTAGCTCTGCGTAGAAACACAGCTGCAATAAATCTGATGTTGCTCCGCAGTTCATCTGCAAACTCCTCATCTGTGCTGAGGTCCCTACAACACACCAGGAGACCCACACCTGATTCACCTACAATCTTTCATGTAAACGGACAAGAAATGAACAAGTCTGAAGCATGATTATCTTTCAAATGAAGACCTATTCCAGCAATACTAGAGGTGTACTTCATACCAGTTTCACCAACATAATGATGTTAGTGATGGGTCGCTGCTGCAAAAGTTATTCCTGGTGAAACCCTGTTTCTAGTCATCTTAACATTACAAATAGATGGACCCCAGTAATGACAATTAAGTATTTGATTCCAATATTGAATACATTGTGGGATATATTTATTACAGAGTTTTACTACATTGTCAGTTAGTTATAACATGTTGACGGAGGACAAAACAACAACTTACTTATACCATGTGTAGACAAACTCCTTGAAAATAATACTGAAAAACTGAAAGTCAAAGATATACAATTATTACAATGATTCAAAGACACATAGGGCTGAAAACCTCCCCATCCAATATCATCTCTCCCATATACCTCCCCATCCAACACATCTCTCCCATATACCTCCCCATCCAACACATCTCTCCCATATACCTCCCCATCCAATATCATCTCTCCCATATACCTCCCCATCAAATATAGTCTCTCTCATATACCTCCCCATCCAATATCATCTCTCCCATATACCTCCCAATCCAATATCAGCTCTCCCACATATACCTCCCCATCCAATATCAGCTCTCCCATATACCTCCCCATCCAATATCATCTCTCCCATATACCTCCCCATCCAATATCATCACCCCCATATACCTCCCCATCCAATATCATCTCCCATATACCTCCCCATCCAATATCATCACCCCCATATACCTCCCCATCCAATATCATCTCTCCCATATACCTCCCCATCCAATATCATCACCCCCATATACCTCCCCATCCAATATAGTCTTTCCCATATACCTCCCCATCCAATATCATCTCTCCCATATACCTCCCTATCCAATATCATCTCTCCTATTTACATCCCCACCCAATATTATCTCTCCCACATATACCTCCCCATCCAATATCATCTCCCATATACCTCCCCATCCAATATCATCTCCCATATACCTCCCAATCCAATATCATCTCTCCCATATACATCCCCACCCAATATCATCTCTCCAACATATACCTCCCCATCCAATATCATCTCTCCCATATACATCCCCACCCAATATTATCTCTCCCACATATACCTCACCATCCAATATCATCTACCCATATACATCCCCATCCAATATCATCCCATATACCTCACCATCCAATATCATCTCTCCTATATACATCCCCATCCAATATTATCTCTCTCATATACCTCCCCATCCAATATCATCTCTCCCACATATACCTCACCATCCAATATCATCTTCTCCATATACCTCCCTATCCAATATCATCTCTCCCATATACATCCCCATCCAATATCAGCTCTCCCATATACCTCCCCATCCAATATCATCACTCCCATATACCTCCCAATCCAATATCAGCTCTCCCACATATACCTCCCCATCCAATATCATCACCCCCATATACCTCCCCATCCAACATCAGCTCTCCCACATATACCTCCCCATCCAATATCATCACCCCCATATACCTACCCATCCAATATCAGCTCTCCCACATATACCTCCTCATCCAATATCATCTCCGCCATATAGCTCCCCATCCAATATCATCTACCCATATACATCCCCACCCAATATTATCTCTCCCACATATACCTCACCATCCAATATCATCTACCCATATACATCCCCATCCAATATCATCCCATATACCTCCCTCCCCATATACCATATCCCCACATACCTCTCTCATCTATTACATCCCCACATACTTCTCTTCCCATATACCTCCCTCATGTACTATATCCCCATATACCTCCCTTCCCATATCCTGCAACCTCGTGGTATCGGTAAACGGAAAAAAAATGTACTCACTAACTTTTATGATTATTCGTGTTCTCTATTTCAGGTGTCATTAATTTTATCTTAATATGCATATTTTACTGATTAAAATTCATTATTTACATAAGTCGCGCCGAGTAAAAGCCGGGCCTCGTGCTCAGTTTGACATGGGAGAGAACTCCATCGTATCGTGGTACAGGGAAAAGTTGTGTATGAAGGTCCGAATTGGTATATGACCGCGTATAAGCCGGATTTTGAGGACCAGAAAAAAGATTCTGTAGAAAGGGGTCGGCTTATCCACGGGATACACTTTCATGATAGTATTTTTCAGATCGTGATCTGTCAGAAACATCGCCTAAATGACGGTCCGATAGATTACAACTTCCCGAAAGTTTGTAAGTTGCCACGACTAGAGCCATTATTGGTATAAATTATCAATAAAGTTATTATTATACACCAATGTTGTCATTATTATAAAAATGTTATGCATGTTACTACTTCCGATAATAAGTTTTCAATTGAATGTTCAAAGTTTATCGTTCTTCATAAACTCCACAATCTTTACATTTAGATATCTAACAATATATGTAATTCACAGCTATAATATATAATCCCCAGATGAAAGTGCCAATAGCTATATACGCACGTTTTGCAAAGTTCATAAATTGATAGTGAACAAGTGTCTACCTTTATTGAAAGAGGCAAATAAACAACTGTATCGGCGAGTTATTTCGTTCACCATTTGCAAAAACATGTGATCAGCTGTTTCAATATAATTACGTTTTTCATCTTATATTTTTGAATATCTGCTAGTACTGGCACATGTCTTGCAGTCCGACTTCGCAGTGTTTTTTGCCTTTCACTTCCTGGTTTGGCTTATCTGCGGGTCACATCATTTTCTTTCTTATTTCAATGGTCAAGTTAACACCTCAGCTTATCTACTGTGTCGGCTTATCCGACACTAATGATGGGAACCGATTAAATCAGTGGTATTTAGTCCAGTTAATCCGACAGTCTCCCACTCCGACTCCGACACACATAATTTGCAACGAATTACCGACATCACTCATTAATCAGTCTCGTTAATCCGACACAGTGATCAGCGTACTCCGTGGTCATCTGCCTGTGAGTACACAGTCCTGTGTTTTGATGCAAGACGAGTCGGCGAGTAGCTGCATATTTCAACGGCTGCAGAGATAAATTTGCTTAACAATAAACAATTACTGCTTTAATTAAACAAAACAGGAATAATCACATGCCTTGATTACCTCAATATCATTAAATCGGATACAAGTTCTCGCTACCACTGAGGACATCCCATTATAGATCACGTCGGATCGACCTTTCGCAAACTTTGACCGACCAATGAAATTACAAACAGGAAATCAACATTAGCCACTAAGAAAGCAGCTTTCTTAAGCATTGCGGCACTAGTTTCAAATTGACGACTTCCATTCCATATGCTTTAAAAAGTATGTTGAATCAGTAATACATTAGAAACATATGATTGGAAAACATATACCGCTAACAATGTAACATAACAATATGAATATTGCCTTTTCCCTCTATATTTATTATAACGTATTTGAATCGTTATCTATCGTGTTGTCCAATTTTCGATCAAGAATGTTGTTAATTTCGTTTATCCGACATACTCTTTAATCCGACATAATCATATGCAACCAACAATGTCGGATTAACGGGACTTGACTGTAAATGGGGAGGGAGGTATGTGGGGATATAGAACATGAGGGAGGTATATGGGGAGGGAGGTATTTGGGTATATAGTACATGAGGGAGGTATATGGGGAGGAGGTATGTGGGGATATAGAACATGAGGGAGGTATATGGGCAGGGAGGTATGTGGGGATATAGTACATGAGGGAGGTATATGGGGGAGGGAGGTATGTTGAGATGTAGTACATGAGGGAGGTATGTGGGGAGGGAGGTATGTGGGGATATAATACATGAGGGAGGTATATGGGGATATAGTACATGAGGGAGGTATATGGGGATATAGTACATGAGGGAGGTATATGGGGGAGGGAGGTATGTGGGGATATAGTACATGAGGGAGGTATGTGGGGAGGGAGGTATGTGGGGATATAGTACATGAGGGAGGTATATGGGGATATAGTACATGAGGGAGGTATATGGGGAGGGAGGTATGTGGGGATATAGTACATGAGGGAGGTATATGGGGAGGGAGGTATGTTGGGATGTAGTACATGAGGGAGGTATATGGGGAGGGAGGTATGTGGGTATATAGTACATGAGGGAGGTATATGGGGAGGAGGTATGTGGGGATATAGTACATGAGGGAGGTATATGGGGAGGGAGGTATGTGGGTATATAGTACACGAGGGAGGTATATGGGGAGGAGGTATGTGGGGTTATAGAACATGAGGGAGGTATATGGGGATATAGTACATGAGGGAGGTATATGGGGAGGGAGGTATTTGGGGATATAGTACATTAGGGAGGTATATGGGGAGGGAGGTATGTGGGGATATAGAACATGAGGGAGGTATATGGGGAGGGAGGTATGTGGGTATATAGTACATGAGGGACGTATATGGGAGGAGGTATGTGGGGATATAGTACATGAGGGAGGTATATGGGGAGGGAGGTATGTGGGTATATAGTACATGAGGGAGGTATATGGGGAGGAGGTATGTGGGGTTATAGAACATGAGGGAGGTATATGGGGAGGGAGGTATATGGGGATATAGTACATGAGGGAGGTATATGGGGAGGGAGGTATTTGGGGATATAGTACATGAGGGAGGTATATGGGGAGGGAGGTATGTTGGGATGTAGTACATGAGAGAGGTATATGGGGAGGGAGGTATGTGGGGATATAGTACATGAGGGAGGTATATTGGGAGGGAGGTATGTGGGGATATAGAACATGAGGGAGGTATATGGGGAGGGAGGTATGTGGGTATATAGTACATGAGGGAGGTATATGGGGGAGGAGGTATGTGGGGATATAGTACATGAGGGAGGTATATGGGGAGGGAGGTATGTGGGGATATAGAACATGAGGGAGGTATATGGGGAGGGTGGTATATGGGTATATAGTACATGAGGGAGGTATATGGGGAGGGAGGTATGTTGGGATGTAGTACATGAGGGAGGTATGTGGGGAGGGAGGTATGTGGGGATATAGTACATGAGGGAGGTATGTGGGCAGGGAGGTATATGGGGATATAGTACATGAGGGAGGTATATGGGCAGGGAGGTATGTGGGGATATAGTACATGAGGTAGGTATATTGGGAGGGAGGGATGTGGGGATGTAGTACATGAGGGAGGTATATGGGGAGAGAGGTATGTGGGGATATAGTACATGAGGCAGGTATGTGGGGATATAGTACATGTGGGAGGTATATGGGGAGGGAGGTATGTTGGGATATAGTACATGTGGGAGGTATATGGGGAGTGAGGTATGTGGGGATATAATACATGAGGGAGGAATA